GCTGACATATTCCTCATCATTTGTAGTTTCTAGCTAAATGCCATGACTCCATCAACTCATGTATTTTGTGGTGCACCTTTTCAGTTCTCCTTAATTTATATACGGTGGACATGTTGGGACACATGAAACACGATTTTTACACTTGAAACTTCATAACAAAATGTTATGAAGGTAAAAGAAAGTCGAATCTTTACAGCAAAAACACTGTGAAGTTTCAAATGTAAAAATTGTGTCTCACGAAAACAGTCTTGTTTCACATATGAGTTTTTTTCAAATATACCGTCCATTGCCACCTTTACAACCATCATTGGTTACCGACCACCATTAGCCATTACCACCAACAGTACCACCATCGGCCACCTCCAACTCCTCCTATACCGCAACAACCTCATCCATGACCTCCACAACCACGTTTGACCACTGACCACCACTGTCCATTGCCACCTCTACAACTACCTTCGGCTACCGACCACCACTGTCCATTGCCACCTCTACAACTACCTTCGGCTACCGACCACCACCGTCCATTGCCACCACCACTACCACCATTGGCCACCTCCAACTCCTCCTCTACTGCAACAACGTCCTCCACGACCTTCACAACCTTCGACCATCGACCACCACCTCACCTCCACCATAACCACCACTACCACTATCTTCACTACATCAGCCACAACTACCTCATCCACCATTGTCAACCGCCATCACCACCACAATCCACCATCTTCATGTCCTTTATAACCACCGTGGTCCACCAACCACCACTGCCTCTACCTCCATAACCACCGACCACCACCGCCCATCGCCACTACTACCGTCGGCCACCACCCTCCACCACCAATACTACAACCAATCAGTCATATCAAACTTTTCATTCAAAATTGACACCATTATATATGTATGTATTCATTTATATGACAATTGTATAAAAATATTCATAAATTAAATTCTTTAACTATTACTGTATTTGTGTTAATTATAACTATTATATAATATTTAAAATCATCAAATAACTTTTGAGGTAACTTGTCTAGTTCTGTCACGTCCAATCATAGTCGTACCAAACTGCTCGTCGGTTTATTCAACC